GTGGACGGGCGGCAGTGCTTGCGACTGCTTCTGTCCGCGGGTGAATCGCCTGCGCTCCCTCCGGCCCGGGAGCTCCCCTTGGGGCTTGCCCAGACAGGCTCGGGTAAAGGGCGAGATCATGGTGAGGCCATCGGACGCCTTTTGGGCGAAGGCAGCAAAAGCTGAAGTGGCCAGCACGCCACTCTGCAGCCGGAGGTGGGCAGGGGGACCTTGCTGCAAAAGCCATATTAAAAAGCAGAGCGCAGGATTCAGCCTTCGGGAACTCGGCTCTCGTTGCCACCTGCTCCCAGCAGCGGCAGGGCTGGAGCAACAGGCAGCTCTGGGAAGAGGAGAAGCAGCAGCACAGCAAGGCAGGGACGCAGACAGGCAACCGGGAGCAGAAGCGCCTCCCGCACAGCAGATGGAGGCATTATTTGCTTAATAAACATTGGAAAAGGCCAAAGTTTGGAGTATCTGATTAAACTGGCACCCCCACAGCTTTAAGGCTCAGATTTCCACAAAGCAGAGCCAGTAACTTGTTTCCCTGGCTCTGGGACTCAGGCTGCTGGGTCTTTTACTTTGCCGGTGACAACACACAAGAGTGCCCGTTGTCACCCACCCACTTCCCATCTGCCATAGCTATGTACTTCAGCCCTTCTGTCTTGGGAAGCACTGGAAAGCCAAAGTATTGCTACATTCCCCCTTCCCACACCCCAGGCTTTGCTACCACAAAACTTACCAGCTGCACGAGAGATGAACCTACCCACTCACTTCCTAAGCAACCCCTCCCCACAGTGAGCATAAAGCTTATACCATATTTTACCAGTGATAAATTTTGGCTAAATTAGGCCAAAAAGCTCTGCAGACTACTTGCTGCCCAGCTTTAGTGCACATTGTAGGAGCAGGAGTGGAAAGCAGTAGCTTAGCACTCCCCTTTGAGAACTGAAATTTGACATCTGCTGAAGGGAAAGGGGCTAGAGGAAGGCAGGTTTCCTGCAGGGAGAAAGCCCTTTCTCTCTGCTTCAAGGCTCTCTACTAGAGCCAGCATCTCACCCTGATCTCAGCTACCCCTGGGGAAGATCAAGGAAAAGAAAAGAAGTGGTTTGGGAGTTGTTTTTACTGCAAAGTCGGGAACCAGTCCTGAACCACCACCTGAAGTGATGCTCACTGGAATGACTCCAGCCCCAGGAGCCTACAGCCACCCGAGGAACTGCTGGGATTCCCTGCAAGGGAAGTGTGAGTCCACCTCTTGATTTTTTTTTTTTTTTTTTAGCCAAACACTGACTTAAACCCATTTGGATTGATCAGTGGCCAGAATGGCTTCACTCATACCAGAGGCAGCTTTGCTTAATGAGCAGACACCCAAACATCACATCCATCCCTGGGCATCAGCTGGCAAAGATGCAAATCTCCACAGAAACACAGATGGGGCTGGCCTGGCTGCAGGCTCCTGCAGGACAGAACCTGCCACCAGCCAGTTGCACCATGCTGCTCTGCTGCACCCCAAAGACGGCACAAGCTGATCCAGCAACCCCAGCCATGCACTCAGGATCTCTGCCACTGTTTGCAATACCCCACTAGCAAGGGCATGTTGCTACATGCAGTCTTCAGAGGTCCAACTCCTTTCCGCCTCCATCATTAAATTAACAACCCAAACGTTTGTAACAAAGTGTTATTTATTAGAATTACATTGCACTTAAAAAATAAGGGAGGTCTGACCCTGTGATCTTGACCTACGTGAAGGACACAGGGCCAGACCTGCAATAAATATAAATACTATGTACAGTTTATCTAAAATAAATATATAATTTAAAATGAAAAATATCTTGTTAAATAGCTGTTACCCTCCCACCCCTCCTGCGCCTAAGAAAGCCCAGAGCCTGGTCTCCTCGCCTTTCACAGTTTGTTCCTCAGCATGCACTGCAGTGGATAGAGAGCTGCTGGAGAGCCCCTCTGCTGCCAGCTGGTCAGTGAGTGCCTCTCCTGAGCCCCCTCGTCCCAGAGATGGCCACCAAGCTCCCTGCAGTGACACCGCTGCCCGACCAGCCCCGAAGCAGGTCCTGTCCTGGTGCTCCAGTGAGCTCCCACCACACTGCGGGCTCCAAGAGACGGTGCTGGCTCCGTGGCTCTTGCCTCTTCCAGGAGGTAGAAGTGCATTAGTGCCGACCCCTGCAAGACAAGCAACAGGAGAGCTCACAACACAGCCCTGGGCCGCTTTGCCCACCAAGCGGTTTGTGCATGGTGGGGCCACGGTGCCCATCCCACCCTGCCCAGCAGGAGAGCCCTCATGGCCACCAAAGCCACAACAGCAGCAGCCACTCGCCACCTTACAGGGCTGGACCTGGGAGGGTGGGAGCGAGGATGCCGGGGGAGCAGTGGCTAAGCATCCCACCCCACGTCCACCATGCTTCCCTTCCAGGAACCACAGCATGTTTCCCACTAGACACATCCACCCCAATAACCTTCAGGGCAGAAGGTACAGTGGTAAAAGCCTTGTGCTGAATCAACTTCCCCAAAATTCAACTCCTAGAAACAGCTAAAAATCCCACCCCCACCACTATCACCAACATTACAGAAATTCTTTGAAGGTATTACTTCATCCTTACAAAGAACAAAGGTTTTTCTTTTTTTTAAAAGAGAGAAGTAGCTGTAATATATATTGGCACATCTAACATCAGGGTTTGGACCAGACCAGAGGAAGTCTGCAAGCTTTCTAGCACCCAGCCATGTGGCCACCCCCCAGGCAGAGCACACCCCACCACCCACCCAGAGGAACATTGCATGGACAGTAAGATCCCCCTGTGCCCAGCTGCAAGGCACTGGTGCAAGTAATAAGCAGAGTGGGAGTGAAAAGAAAGGGGTGGGGTTTTTTTGATATATGTGTATGTATAAATAGAGGCAGTATCTAAGGAGGGGAAGTGACTCAGGGGGTCAGAAAGGGAGCAGAACAAGTGGGAAAAGAAAAGCCCCAGAAGCAGCTTCCCCACTGCCAAACATCCCCAAAGCATGCAGCGACAGGGCAAAGCAGGGACTTAAGGTTAGAAAGGAGGAGGTGGTGGTGGCCAGGGGTGTCAAGGGACAGAGGCTTGAGCAGGATGGGGAGGAAAGAGGGATGGAGCCTCACAGGGCAGCCCAGGGGCTCAGGCCAAATCCAGCCAGCTGCTTTTCCAAGCTCAAATTGCCTTCAGCTCCTGCCTAGTTCTAGCATGGGATCCACATAGTGGCCCCACCCAGCATGAACAAGCAGAGCCCCCAGATGCCCACCAACCCCATCACTGGCCCATGCCCAGTCAGGGTCTCACCTTGCCAGCACCCGGCATCCTCAGTGATTCACAGTGATGCCCAGCTTGATTTTCTCTTCGTTTTCTACATCGTAGCCACCCCTTTTGTGACACCTGTGAGGCCAAGCAAAGAGGTGCTCAGAGCATGCAGAAGTCCCTGCCACCCTCCCCTGCACGTGCTCTTCCCAGGGACACAGATCCAGTGGCTCAGCCCCATCCCACTCACCTGAGCATCAGCAGGGCTGCGATGATGACAAGGCACAGGGAGGATAGGATAACAGCAACAACAGCCAGTGCTGTGGTGTGGTCGTATGCGCTGGGGGGGTGCTCCACAGGTAGTGAGAGGCCATGGCATCTCTCTCCGTGATATCCTGGCTGGCATCTGGGCAAGAAGAAAAGTCTTAAAGGTTGCTGGTGACCAAGCACAGAAGGTCACTGGATCTCTCACACCCCCATGGAAAGGAGCTGCCTCTTTGCTCAGCCTTAGCCAGCACCCTGTCCATTCCTCTTGGTCCCCTCCCCTGAGCTGGGAGCTCTGGTGTCACCATCACCTCCCTGGTACTGTTAAATTAAGTTTCTCCTGCCCCAAGCACTGAATGAAGACTCCTAGAAAGGTTGAGCTCCCCCCAGTAGAAGGCACCGGGGTCTATGCTTTTCCCAATCATCCCCAGGCTGCCCAGACCACCTCTGGAAGCAGGAAGTTGCACACAAGAGAGCAGAGAAGCAGCTGGACTGGAGCTCAGCACTTCCCTCAGAGTAGGATGTCCCTACACAACCTGCCAGCCAGAGAGGTGCCACCTCCCTGCAGACTCAGGAGGTTACTCACAGAACAGAAATAACAATCCCCAGCAGAATTGCTAGGGGCCAACAATCCCCTAGTCTCAGCCTAGCCCTCCTGCCTGGCTCACAACAGCACCACATGTCAGTGTCACCTCCCAGCCATGGCAGTGAAGCTGGGCACAAGGCAGAGGTGCAGGACCCAGCCTGGCAGCACCCTCACCCCATGCCCCGGAGACTAGTGCATGGAAGCAGCAATCCAGGAGACCCTGCAACACAGGCAGCCAGCCACCAAGGGCAGCCACAATCAAGTGACACTGGCCAACATGAGGCCTCATTCCTAAAAACCATGATGGCTCTAGGGATATGTCACCCAGGGATGGGCCACCAGGCTGGAAAGACCCAGCCAGCCTGCAGACCCCTGCTGCTTGCCCATGACCCAGGTCCTCCCCCAGCCCCAGGGATTTGGGCAGGGGACTCCTGGCTGTCCGAGCCCCAGGCAGGGGGTGCTGAACCCCACATGGCACTGGGTCACTAGCCCAAGCTGAGCCAGCAGAGATCTGTTGTTGGCAGTCCTGAGCCCCCTGCGTGAGGGCCCAACTTCATGACAGCTTCCAGGCAGAGAGAAACTAAGCGGTTCAAGGAGCTATGCAGAGCCTGATCCCTGTGGATTGCACAGTGTGAGATCTTGTGGGTACCATGAGCCAGGGAGCTATTATCTTCCCCAGGCTCTGGGTGCAGGGCTGGGTGGCTCAGAAGATTGATAGCAAAGAACAAAGCTTCTTATATATCTGCCAGCTCAACCCCTGCCCACGTCAGCAGGGATCAGATGTGCACCCCTGGGTATCTCCTGCAGTAGCAGTGCTGGAGCCAGGTGCCCCAGCAGCAGGCAAACACTTTCTCCTCCACTTGCCTCGTCTATAGTCCCTGCTCTCTACCTGCATCCCAGGGGAGTGGAGGGGGGTACTCAGCCCTGTCCTTCATCAGGGCCAAGGGACAGCTTGGGAATGGCTTTGGCAGACTGTCCACAAAGGTGCTACCTCCAATCTGCCTTGCTGGTGCCACAGCAGAGGTGCTCCTCCTGCCCGCACCAGTGTATCCCAACAGCCACAGGAGCCCCAAGCTCTCAGCCAAGGCTGACAGCAGCAGGGGACAGGGGGACACAGGGTTACAGAGTCATGATCGGGTCTTGCAAACCAGACCCGCAGAAGACCTCGGCTGCGTGACCCCAGCCCCTGCTCACCATCCTCCAAACCCCATTGCCTCAGATACCGATGCAGCAGCTCAGCCAAAGCTCGCCGTGCCAGCAGGGGATGGTGGGTCTAAGTTCAGGATGGATTTTGGTGGGGGATGGACATTGCTCAAGCAGCAGAAGGAAGAGGCCAAGTCAGAGCCATCCCTGCATGGCCAGGGAACATGCACTAAAAATATCTCCTCTCCTTTTCCTCTGCCCAGCCCAGACAATTGGAGGAACCATGACTAAGGCTCTCCCAGCATAGGCACACACCAGCAACTCACATGCAGGAGGGAGCTCCCAGCTCTCGGATGTATTTGCATTCGCCGTGAATACAGAAATCCTTGTACTTCCGCAGGCATGGGTCTCTCTTCTTCCCCAGGCCTTTGCCTTTTCTTCTTTTATTGCCGTTCCCTTTTTTCTTAGGAGTAACCAGGCCTTGAGGCTTTGACAGGAAAGCAACTGGAAGACAATTTGGGAAGGAGAAAACAGCAGTCAGATCACCTCAGTGCATCAGCCAAAGCGAAGGCAGAGCAGCAAACCCAGGCTGCTGCAGCCAGCTCAGCCCTGGCACTCCTGCAGCCTTTTGTGTTATGATCTGCCCTGGAGCAGAGGGGGTTTTTCCTTTTTTTTTTTTTTTTTTTTCCCTTTTCCAGCTTCTTACAAATATCATGGCCTTTCCGATTCATACGAACAATTCTGAAGGAAAGAAAGGAACAGAGGCAGGGGGGAACAGAGCTTTATGCATCTCAAATGTTGCTATTATATGCCCCAGTTTCCACTGGACACAGAAAATTCATAATTGCCCCTTTATCTGGCTTTTATTTCCCTGATGAGCACGGGTCTTTTATATGACCCTATTCATGGCTCTGATGGACTCTCCTTCCTGTGGGTACAAGCATGCCTTGCACATCCAGAATGGGATTAAGAGAGCAAGACTAACTTTATTTTTTGTTTTGCAGAGCCAAAGAGATGGCTAGGGCAGTGTTCCCATGAATTACAAAGGTATGCTTTAATTGCAGTGCAGAGACCAGTGCTTTCGGTGCAAGGCCAGCTGCCTGCTGGGTTGGTGGGAACCAGAGCACTGAGCTCCTCACCTGTACATGGACCGAAACCAGCAACCTTCCTGGAGTAGCTTTAAGACCTGCAGAAGCCCCAAGAAATCAGCCCCCAGCTTAATCTCACAAGGTGCTGAGGTGCTAGCGAGCACTCACTGCTCCAAGCGTGACTTTTCAGCTCCCCTCGAACCATGCCTCTGAATAACTTTGGTGAGCCTGGGGAAATATGAACAAAGCCCTGCGCTGCTCGGGGAGGAGAGAGTGGCTGAGTCTAACCTGGCAAGTTGTAACCTGCCCAATTCCTTCTCAGCCACTTCCTGACGTAACCAAGGGCGTCCTCTCCCCAGCGAGCACCTCTCGTGCTGCAGCAGACCAGTTGCACACCTAGCAAGGTTATTTTGCTGTTTCAACATCCTTCACACTACACCTAGAGAAAACCGATACTCCAGGAAACTCTGCAGCTTGGAGAAACCCCTGGATCCGGGTGAGGCCCAGGGCTCTGCCCCAGGCTGGCAGTGAAGGCTCTTGGGTTATCTCCAGGCTGCAGCCAGCAGACACACAGTGCTGCTGACCCCCCCAAGCCACCTCCACTGTCATCACCCCTCCTCCTCAGGGCTCTGTCGCTTGAGACAGCCAGAGAAGATTTGGAAGATCTTACTAGTAGGAAAATGCGTCCAGCCCAGGTGAGCAGGGGACTGCTGCTGCTCTCCCCCTCTCAGACACCCTGGGGATTGGGCACAGCTTTCAACATAAAACAGATTTTTCTGACTAGCTCAGCTCAAGGTATCAAGAAAGTGGTCTGAGAGGCTGCAGCCTCAGTAACCAAATATCCACCATGGCCTCAGCCTGTCCCACAGATGCAAGTCACCCCATGCCGGCCAGATCGCTTGCTCTAGGACAGGGTCCCCTCCTCAGGAGGATGCACAGAGGAGCAGGCTGGAGCTTCCCCCTCCCAGCACAAGGGGTAACCGTGTTTCCCGGAGTCTGCGTCCCCTTGGATGTGAGGGAGTCAGCCCAGTTTAGTGGGCTTTTTGCTAGTCTGATGGTACAGCCAGAAAGCAAAGAAAAACATGGAAAAATAGGGAAGATGACTGTATGGTGCAAAGCACGCTCCTCCTGCTGCCAGGTTACTGATCTCAGCCTGTCACATGCGCCAGGCACAGGTACAGGTCACCCTCCTTAGCCTGCAATGACTCCCCCCCATCCCACCCCTGTGAGAGTCCCCGGCACACTCTCTGGTCCCGAGCTGGGGCAGAGGTGCCAAGCATGACTGCCCAGCGAGCCTAACAGAGCAACAGTGTCCCCAACGCCCCCGTAGCAGGGCCCGCCGGCTGACTAACCCTGCCTAGGTATGAGGAGCAGCCGTGTGTAGGCGGCGGGGGGGGCAACGACA